GATCCGTTACGCTTATAACGGCAATTCAGGGCTTTGAGGTTATCGGTATCGGATCATCCCTTCGACGTTTGGTTCTTGGACCTTTTGATACCTATCTCATACTTTCTTGAGGTTCCGCTCATAACCAGCCAGCCAGGCTACCAGACTACCAGGGGGTCCAAGCCTCTGGGGTCTCCGCCGACCCACCGATGGGGAAAAGGGGGGCCGTATCGTCCGGCCAAGTCTGGTAGAGGAAGTGAGCGGGGGAATATCAGTGCCTGGTTTTAGTGTTGAATTAGGGAAATTGATAGGGAAACCCATGACTGCCAAGTACGTAGACATGTGAATAGCTCAAGTTTAAACTTCGGGCTGTATTAGATGTGATTTCGGCAGATGAATAGTCCAATGGTTTCGCAGATATAGTCAGACACGACCACAATACCACGACGCGGAGAATATATCATGTTTCGGGTCACAGCCGTAGTGATCAACCGGTGTAGTTAGTTTTTAGGGGCGCAGTTGGTGGCACGGTATCCCTCTCGGGAACTTGCTTAAGGTATTAAGGCGCATTTATTATCCTATAAGTATCTGCGTAGTTGACTTGGGTACGATCCATATCCAATTAAGGCGAATATGGGAGCAGCCTTGTCCGAGATGGCGGCGAAGTTAGCGACCGCTCGGAAACAATGCGGCTCTCACCTATGACGATCTAAAGACCGCTGATTAGCTCAGAAGTTGGCGGTGGTAGTGTCGGATTTGGCACAAAGCTCTCGGCACATGGGCCAGCTGCAGATGACCTATTGTAGGACAGAATTGTAGACAGCGGTACCACTACCAGCAGTGATGTCGTTGTTCTTCAAACACTTAAAATTCCTACCTAAGGTACCTTAGGTAACTGTCTCAATTCTGTTCTAGGGGTCCTTCTAGGTGTGAGATGCTGCATAGTTGGGTTGTAGCATAGGCGACCACAACCGCAAGCCGGACCGGATCTAGACCATACCGTAAGAGATCTGACAGTGAAGACCAGGCGTTTGGAATTTTGGCATTGGTGACGATAGTATGGCATAATGGGGCACAAAAACTGCCGAATTCTAATGACGAGAGGAATTAAAAAGTGGCTCTTAAGTATTAACCTAATCGAGCCATCGACATGTTTTGCGAAGTGGGGACGATACAAAGATGGGAATGCGGACTCGGCAGATGTTTTTGAAACTGCTTGACTTCTGATTTTGAATGCGATTTTGCCGCGAGAAAAAAAATAAGGAAGGGAAAAAAGTTGCCACGTGCCAATCTGCAATTGTTCTGATCAAATACGGGACCCTTTACGTAAGCACACGCTCTTTCGGATGACTTAAAATGGAAGGAAAGGGTTTATAGAATTTTAGATTTAAGTAAATCCGATTCCGTACCGTATCACAAAGTTAAAGTTCATCGAAAGCCCATCAAGCCTCGATTGCCATTACATACCTTCATGTAGTACCTAGATCCCCGGCCTATGTAATTTGGTATCTATGGTATCCTTCAGTACTACGATACTACCTACATAAATACATCCTATGCAGGATTAAGTATGTCATGTATGTACTTAGGTAACATCCACAATTTGAACGTTCCACCACCTTGGAACCTCCCTTATTCGGGAACCCTTGAAACCCTTTTCTTCCTCCATAGCCTGATATCAATCCCTTTTCGCTGTCCGGTCCTTTTGCTTCACAACCCTGGATTCTTGAATCGTCAATAATCAAGATCTCTTATACTTAGGCGCTCTGCCGCCCGACTTCCTTTAACGCGCGTCATGCCGTACTACCCCCACCGGATGCAGCTCTTATTCTCCCGCCTTTTTCCTAGACCGCACACAATAAATAGCAAGAGTTAACAGTCCGGATATAAACCGACTTGCGATACCTTACGTGATGTATCGCTTCACCGATCGCATTCCAGAGCTGTCGGCAGTATATCGATAATAAGAGCCTCCGCACCTGAAAAGGTGAGGGTACGCCATTTACGTTTCAATGTTAGAATTCGACTAGTTTACTCCATCGTCTCTCTCGCGTCTTCGCGTCTTTACGATGGACGTGACTAAAATAGTATCTCTTACCGATCGCCACGATTTCAAGATTTAGACGCTTACTTTAATCCCGCTGTATAAACTTATACGCGACACAACCTCAAGCGATTCTAGAGCGTCGGCATATTAATCCAACATGATAAACCTGGATGCCGCCCTAGAAAACCACCTCACTATTATAAGAATCCATAGTATGTAGGAACTGCCTTGGCAAGTCTAATACTTAGGTCAGAGACGTGTTCCAAGACAATGCGAGTGGGGTTAAAAGAAACAACTCTCATTGAGATTTAACAGATCTGTTTACTTGTAACTGTTTGTAGCCTTAGAATCCTTAACCACGTCGAAAACCAATAAGCGAGGAAAGAGACTCTAACTCCTTAAAGCCCCTGAATTACTTTGCAGTAGAGCTCAGGACTCCACGGCTGCTTACTGTAAGTAAAAAGCAAATGGGGTCTTAAACCTGATGTTGGGCCTACAGTAGAGCTCTTCATGCTGTTTGCTTGGAAGCGATAGATAAGCCTTGCCTTGTTTGAAGGATCCTGTGTTAGGAAGGTGACGTTGAGGTCCTGAAGTAACAGCTAGCCATATCAAAATATCTACATCTAAGATGCCAATGAATATCGCCAGTCTTATAATATGATCACTCGTTTAACTAAGTTAATATAGCTATCAATACTTGAACGATATGAGATGAAAAATGCTGTGAATTTCAGTAGATAGTACTCCTGGCATTAAACGTCCTATGTTTTTTTGGCATATTTTCTATGACTTTGTTTATTATAAAATATGATGTTGCTTATATACCTTGAGTGCTTAGATATAAACGAGAATTAATAGAATAAGTGATGACTTGTCGTGGTATATTAGGTACTTAATTAAGAATGAGTTCCCGTTCCAGATACAGTACAGAAAATGTTCGAAAGTTCGTTATATAATCGCGAAATTCAAGACAAGTGACTAGATCTTAATATATTCTGCTCATGTGGCAGGAATTTTAACAATAAGGTTCTGAATTCTATTATGTTTATTGTTTTATTACTTCTCTACATGAATATACAGGATGTTCATGTACTTTCCCTTCTGAAGCAGTACCTTAGGTACATAATGTGAAACCTCATATTATAGAATCTGGTCAAATTTTGCTGATATGTTAGGTATTGTAAAGTACTCTTAAACATGTCCAATGCCTCTCATATTACATGTGAGAGTCATTGAGTTTCGAAAGACTTCACTAACCAAATCTTTAATATATCCTAACTTAACTCAAGAAATGGGATCATAATACGTCAAAGATATAGGGAAATATTTCAATTTTCGTCTTACCCCTATTCATTTAACCCCTTAACGTTATATGTTTTACTAAGCATACGGAATCAACCAATTTTTGTTTGATGGCCATCAATTATATTTACTACGCAGGTACGATGAATGAGTGTAGCCGCACAACACCACCCCAAAATGTTATCCCAATGAATGCTTTCCCTTAGTAGAGCCCATAGCCTCAATCCCTAGCCTCAGCACCAATTTTCCTCTCCTCTTTCCCCGTCATCCTAGGCTAACCCCCCCCCCCCCCCCCCCAATCTAACTAGCCGAAGGCATCGTGCAAGTCCCCTTGCACTCCGTCATGGTAGGCTGGACCAAAACCGGCGCCGCAATCTCATACTCGCAAGTCCCAGCCGCACCATCACAACCGCCCTGCACGAGATTCACGCCCGTGGCGAAGTGCCCCGTACCCTCATACACCTTGTACCAAACGGCGTTCCAGCGCGTCACATTATAGTCCAGCCTGAACTTCAGATCCAAATCCGTCGGATCCACGCCGTCCCCGACCACACCCACGCTCCACACCCCGTAGGACGTGTCCGAGGTCTCCTCGCAGTCCTCGCTCGTGCCCGCGAGGCTGCAGTTCGCCGCGCTCGGGCTGAAGGGCAGGTACCCGCCGCCCGCGGCGTGCGGCGCCGGCCCCGCGGACACCGTGTTCGGGTTCGCGACGGCCACCTCGATGTCCACGGCGCCCTGTCCGCCCTTCTGCGGCGCCGTGATCTGCAGGCTGCTCACCGTCCACGGCTGCAAAGGCCCCAGGAACGGGGTGGTGTCGTACGCGGCCGCGGCGGCCGCGAAGGTGGCGAGGCTTACTAAGAAGCGCATTTTTGTCGTGATATCGTAGAAATATTGTTGCTTTGTGCCACTTTGTCCCGAGTGTTCAGATTCGATGTGCAGATGTAGGAAATATGTCAAGAGGATGTAAGCTTCCGTGCCGCAGATTTTTAAGTACGACTCCAGACTGCTCCGGCGTCCAAATATGTATCAAGCAAAGCCCGTATACATATACGCACGCAAAAGAGCGCCATCGTGTCACCAGGTAGGTAACGTTGGGCCACACAGTAGCACCAGATAAATATAGAGTTAAATCCTTCTCTCTTTCCCAATTCCCTGGATCGTAAATACGAAGCTTTTCTCAGCTAACGCAAGGGCTTGGAAGGAGCCCGTCAGGCTTTAATAGGTACCAGGTCTCAGAACGGGGCTCCCGGCTAAATGCAAAGCGGATTCTTGTGCGTTAGCAAATGCCCTGGATACATGTACCTCAAGTATTTGTTGGATGAATTTATTGAGAATGATGCATATGGGTTGACAACAGCCGTCTTATTCTCGTTTACCTTTCGAGTCACATAGCCTTGCATCGACGTGGCAGTCTTAGCTATAGCTAAATGATACGTTGCAAGCCCCTGAACCTGTACTTTTACCTGCAACTATAGCTTCGATAAGTTACCTACATGTACCCAGTAGTAAGCTGAGACACAGAAAGCTCATCATTGGATGTGAGTCTACGCACAATAGGGCAGTTTAATTCCGATTAAATTAAAGCTTAATGCTAGCTCACAACGTCAGTTCAGCTACACACAATCTCAACACGAACTGCGAAGGGGTGAAGAAGGGGGGGAAAAAAGAATAATCCCTCGGACTGGAATCGAACCAGTGACCTTTCGATATACAATTATGAAGACAATTACAGTCGAACGCCATAAACCAACTAGACTACCAAGGGTTAATGTTCTCTCCTGTTAGCTTTCCTTAAGAATAGGAAACTGCTGGTTAGGATAGCGAGGCTCAGACGACAAAGTGGGGATGTGAGAATGAGCACAGTCCGTGTAGTAAATCTTATTGAATCAGTTCAGCCAAGAACTGTACGGAGCCTAAGCAGTGCCATTCAGCACACTGTCTAAGAGTTCTGCGTCCTTGAGCAGCTGCTTATCCCCTAGTCTTGGGCCAACAATCTGCAAAGCCACCGGCGCCCCCTTAAAAAGCTCCGGGTCATCTAAGGGTGTCCAATGTCAGCTGTATAATATTGATGCCATATGCCAGGGAGCCAATTTACATACACATATCCTGATTCTTCTGATCTGCGACGTGTCTAGGCTTGAACTCGACGTCCGTGGGGTCGAGAACCGGGTCGGCGTGCGTGAATGGTACGATGATGGCAGGATACTAGAGAACGAACGTCAGACAGCTCGCTCAAACAACGCATTATCCAAGAGAGAAGAAAACCCTTACATCGGCTACGTTCCAAGCTACTGTGTATATGTCACTCGTCCAATCGCCAGGCAATACGGCCGTGTGCGGACCAGCAGGTGCTAGAACTACATCACAGCCCACCCTCTGCCACTCGTCCAACATGTCTTTCTGGATCTGCCCTTTCTTCGTATTCCACTGCCACGCCTCCTCCTGGCTCTTTGCCGGGATGTCCCAGAACCCGATCTTCATCACGCTCGGGACCACGGGCTCGCCTGACTTGGCGAACTCTTGTTTAGGGTACGATAGTCCATCTAGGGTGAATAGCTGCTCTGAGACGTCGCGGATGCCGATGAAGTCTGGCGGGTTGAAATCTCTGATCTCGAATCCGGCAGCGGACAGCTTGGACACGGCTTCTCGCATGGCCCGGCGCACCGGAGGGTGAGGCGTGAGTCCGGACGCGTGGATGACGCCGACCACAGGCTTTCGCGGAGCTGTACTACCGAACTCCATGATGTTCGGTATGACCGCAGGGTCGAAGCTCCAAGGTTTCGCGGCCCTGACTACGCGAGTGAAAAGATCAAGGTCACGCACCGAATGTCCTAGCGGACCGGTGACCGCTGGAATTCCCGTGTTGGAACCGGTCCAGCCTGAGTATGAATACCCAATCATAGGAATGATTCCAAAGCTGGGCTTGTATCCATAGACGCCATTGCATGCCGCTGGTATTCGTACCGAGCCGCCAACATCGGTTCCGACACCAAGAGCGCTGCATCGAAAGGCCTGACCCGCACCCTCGCCACCACTACTTCCACCACTGGTCAAACGAGAGTTCACGGGGTTCTTGGAGCGCCCGAACACGTTGTTATCGTTCTCTGCGACTAACATGGTCTGAGGCACGTTTGTCTTTGCAATAATCACCGCCCCAGCGGCTTGCAGGAGTTCCGGCAGCGGCGACGTATGGTCAGCCGGTTGAAAGACTCGGGACATGTATCCATTGGTTGAGTCATATCCCTTGAAGTGAAAGCACTCCTTAAAAGTCATGGGAATTCCATGTAAGGGACCAATTACCTTCCCGGTGCTCTTGAAGATGCTATCCAATTCCTTGGCCCTCTCTATCGCGTCTGCGAACATGATCTCCGTCAACATGTTGCAGAGCTGATGGCCTACAGCAGCGCGCTTACAGAACGCTGTGACAATCTCCAAGGCCGTGAATCTGCCTTCAGCAATGGCAGTAGCCAGCGAAGTAGCATCATACTCCTCGCCAGTTATTGCCAACTCGGCTGGAGAGAGGATCCCGGATGAAGTGACAAGGGGTCGGAGGTCAACTGTATCTTCCGGTGGAAAGTCTTCTTTCTTCAGTTTCCATTCTGTTGGTATTCTCGAATCTTGCTCTGCCTTCTTCGCCGCCTGCAATTCTCGCCAAGACTTCTTGGTCACTGACTCATTGTTTTTACCCATTTTTAAGTATTAGTATGTCTAGTGTGTTTAACTTACCTCTCATAGAAATCATCAACGCAAGAGGGTGCTCAAATAGGCGTGGCCCCTCACGAGGACCTGCAATGGACCCTGAGAAATCATACCTACATCTCGTAAGAGTGGGGTACAAAGCGGCGTTGATATCCGAGGAGTTGGGGATGAGGAGATCACCTGTATACTACGTAGTAATTAGGAATCTGTCTCTGATGGATCCACTATATGCTAGATTATCTGATTATCTGATAATCTACCCCAAGCAATCCTTTAACAGGTTGTTTTACTCTATACCATACCCTATCGTTGCATTCGATACGAGGTTATATGGGTCGATCCTACATCACCTCTTGGAACCGGGTACCGCCTATCGGTTGAGATACCTCCTCGCAAATTGCCTTTATATACACCTAGGTAGATCATAATAAAATTATAACACCTCTTTTAAGTGTTGCAGTTGTCTAGGGTTTGTATGATACAACCCATTGAAGATTGGAAATATGTATGATAATAGCATGAGGTTTCGTTGTGGGTCATCTATTGGTGTTGGATGGGTAACGTACCTAAGGCAGGCAGAGTGGTGTTGTCACACTGCATCTTGACGAATATAGCAAGGATCTTATCATGCATATTGGATATCAATCGCCAAAGTGGTGTTGACATAGAGAGGAGAAGCATTTAAAAAACTCTTCATTGTTCTCCTTGAAAATCGTCGTCTCCTTTTCCAAGATTTTCTCCTTACTTGACAGCGAAAATGTCCGAGAAGAATGATATTCCAACTGACAAGAGCCCAGTTGATACTGAGCAAGGAGACGGCTTCGTTATTCCAAAGCAGAATGCATTCCAGCGTTTAATTCACCGTCGGAATGATCTTAACGAGCTAGGGAAGGACATGCTGCAGAAGTCGCTTCAATATGATCGAGCTCAACTTGAAGCAGATGCTATCAAAGTCAGATGGAAGTTAGATCTTCTAGTGCTTCCAATGGTATGATTCCCGAAGTTGAACGCCTCCTATCTGGTAATAATCGTTCCTAACAAGGTTCTCCCTCAAGATGATGATCACATACATGCTGTCGTTTCTTGACAAGCAGACGTACGGTTCGCCCTATGTATTAGCTGATGGGGAGTTCTGATAATGACCGTGAATAGCCTGAACTACTCAAATGCGTACGGTTTGCAGAAAGACACAAAAATGACAGGTGATGATTACTCTTGGGTCGCTTCCGCCTTATATTTTGGCTGGCTCTGTACGTGACAACTCTCGAGCCTCAGCATATTAACGATCAAGCTAACTGTGTCTCTCAAGGCGGAGCATGGCCATGGAATATATTGTTGCAACGTGTCGCCATAGGCAAATTGGTCGGTGGAATGTTGTTCATCTGGGGACTTGTCTGCATGCTACAAGCCACAGTATTCAACTTTGGCGGCTTCTTCGTAGTTCGCTTCTTTCTGGGAATGCTCGAGGCTTGTCTATCTCCTGCGTGGGTGATCCTAACATCGATGCTTTGGACCAGAAAGGAACAAACTTTGCGCAGCTCCATTTGGCTGTGTACGAATGGCGTCGCGAATATCTTGGGTGCACTTCTTGCTTATGCCTCGGGTGTTGCTGAGGGTCTGAAAATAGATCAGTGGAAACTAATATTCCTAGTAGGATCTCCAATTTTCTTTTCCAAATTTCTGCAGCAAGATCTAATTCGGAATATGTAGATAGTCGGAGCTCTTACATTCTTATGGGGATTTGTCATCATACTCTACCTCCCCGATGGACCGCATAATGCGAAGATGCTCACCGAGTACGAACGTATCGTTGCCGTATGGCGTGTCTCCAACAACCATATCGGTCTTAAGGATGCGACGATAAGACCGTATCAGATCAAGGAGGCATTATTAGATGGCAAATGCTACCTGGTATGGATGACGGGAATGTCGCTCGGGATACTCAACGGTGCCGTGACCAACTTCATGTCAGCTATCATCAAGGGCTTCAATTTCGATGCACTTAGAGCGTCTTTGCTGCAAGCTCCAGGGGGCGCGTTCGAGGTCGTTAGCTGCATTCTATTAGGATGGTTCTCACAGCTTCCGAATATGGTCGGAGTTACTATCATCCTCGGATGTTTGCCTGGTATGGCCGGATTGATCGGCATTCTCACTATTAATATTGAGCACCGTTATGCGCTTGTTGCCATGTGTTGGTTACAGAACGTGCTTGGGTCGCCAATTGTTCTGAACTGGACGGTTCCCGGTCTAAACATCGCAGGGCATACCAAGAGGAGCACTGTGATTGGAATATATTTCTTCTGTTTTGTTGTGGGAGAGTAAGTTTAGATCCAGGAGCGCAGAGAAACAATCTGCTAACAATCATGAACAGTGTCATTGGCCCTCACCTCTTCCTACCTGAGGAGGTACCGAGATACCCATCAGCGATCAAGGGACTTCTAGGTACATACTGCGCCGTAGTGTTCTTCCAAGGACTTTACACTCTGTGGTGCTGGCTTGAAAATAAGAATCGGGACAGACTAGGTCAACGTGCCGAGGCGGTAGAGGAAGAGTTGCTGGAAGGTTTTGAGGATCTGACAGACAAGCAGAACAAGCATTTCCGTTATACGTTGTGATCGTGGCAAATGAGAAGAGAACTCATAAGTCCTAAAATTTCTTGGAAGACTTTAATTACGTGTATTTAGGTATACGACCAAGAATCCTTTGAAATGTCTTGTATTGGGCAATGCCACGAGATTGCAATTGAGAATGATGAATGATGATGGTGTGAATGCCTTCATTTCGCTTGGAGCCTATAGCTGGAAAGTAAGTTGATCCGAAGATATTTAGGTGGTTCGTATAAGTAATACATAGTCCTTCATGTGGGATGGGATGGTTGACTCTTTCCAAAAGTCGTCGTGATTTGAATAAGGTTGTTATGACAACATTGAATATTCTCAAAAGCTCGCGATTGCATTGAAATATGCGGGAGGCAAGTGCACTCTGCTGACGTAAGTGGGGTGCTACAGAATAGGCCCCACAATATCGAGGTCTTTTAAACTCGAGCTTCCAACTTTTTGAACCTCT